CTTTATCATCCAAGTAAGGCTAATATTGTTGTTAGATGCTTTAAGCAGGTTGTCTATGGATAGTACCGCCCATGTTGAGGAAGAAAAGATAGAATTAGCGAAAGATATGCATAGACTTGCACGATTGGGAGTTCGACTAATGGATTCCACGGAAGGAGGAGTAGTGGTGATGAATGAGGCTGAATCATCATTAGTGTCAGAAGTAAAAGACAAGCAAGACGAAGATCCAATTTTACTTGAATTGAAGGCAAATGTTAATAAGCAAAAAGTAATGGCTTTTGAACAAGGGGGAGATGGTGTGTTGAGGTATCAAGGTAGGTTGTGTGTACCAGGGTGGATGAACTCCAAGAGAGGATCATAGAGGAAACTCATAGCTCCAGATATTCTATTCATCTAGGTTCCACAACGATGTACCGCGATTTGAGAGAAGTTTAATGGTGGAGTAGTATGAAGAAGAGCATTGCAGAATTTGTTGCTAAGTGTCCGAATTTCCAACAAGTTAAAGTAGAGCATCAAAGGCCCAGTGGTTTGGCTCAGAATATATAACTTCCAGAATGGGAGTGGGAGATGATTAATATGGATTTCATCACAGGTTTACCAATGTCTCGCATGCAGTATGATTCCATTTGGGTGATTGTTGATAGAATGACAAATCAGCCCATTTTTTGCCGGTAAGGACTACCCATTCGGCAGAAGAATATGCTAAGTTGTATATTCAAGAGGTGGTTAGACGTCATGGGTTCCGGTCTCCATTATTTCAGACAGAGGTACACAATTTACTGCACAATTATGGAAATCTTTTTTGAAAGGTTTGGGTTCAAAAGTGAACTTGAGCACTGCATTTCATCCTCAGACGGATGGTCAAGCAGAGCACACCTTTCAGACTTTAGAGGATTTGTTGAGGGCCTGTGTGATTGATTTCAAAGGTAATTGGGATGATCACCTACTTCTTATTGAATTTGCATACAACAATAGTTATCACTCTAGCATTTAGATGGCTCCCTATGAAGCTCTTTATGGGAGAAGATGCAGATCTCTTATTGGATGGTTTGAAGTTGGTGAGTTGGGTTGATAGGACCAGACTTAGTTCATCAAGCTATAGAAAAAGTGGAGGTTATTCAAGAGAGGTTGAAGACGGCACAGAGTCGTCAAAAATCCTACACTGATGTTAGGGGAAGGGAGTTAAAGTTTGAAGTATATGATTGGGTATACTTGAAAGTTTCACCTATGAAGGGTGTTATGAGGTTTGGTAAGAAGGGGAAGCTTAGTCCCTGGTATGTTGGTCCTTACAAAATGTCCAAGAGGATTGTCAAAGTAGCTTATGAGTTGGAGATACCACAAGAGTTAGCAGCGGTTCATCCGGTATTTCACATCTCTATGTTGAAGAAATACATGGGCGATCCTTCATTGATTATACCAACTGAAGATATTGGGATCAAGGATAGCTTATCTTATGAGGAGATTCCAGTTCAAATTCTAGATCGCCAAGCTCGCAAATTGCGGACTAAGAAAGTAGCATAAGTCAAAGTTCTTTGGAGAAATCAGTTCGTTGAGGAGTCTACTTAGAAAGCTGAAAAGGATATGAAGAAGAGATATTCACATCTCTTCGAATCCAGAGAAAATCCAGACCAATGTACTAATTCTCTTCTTAGTACTCTTTAA